TGTGTACAAATCCCTGTTAAAACCTTCATGCAAAAATAAGCTTCAGCGATTCAAAACTACTTAAAGTGCCCGTAATATCTGGAATAAATTTTAATAATTTTAATTTAAAAAACTTAAATTGCTTTTAAAAAGCTATTGAAAAGAATACTTACTGTAAGTTTGTTTAGTTACTGGTCTTTTCTAAATTTATTCTTTGCAAGCTTCTTGTATAATTTCTTATTTTTTATTAAATATAAATATATTTTGAACATTGCATTAGTAATAAATGTGTTAATATTAAAATAAATAAATATATTTGTATACTTGTTATCTAACATTTTATAACCATTATAATGTAATGATCTTATTTAAAATTTTTATGAATAAGTTTTTATAATTGCGGTAATTATGATAAGACCATTTCTTCTCCAAGTTTTCCGCGTTCTAAAGAATGCGGAATGTACAATGTTAGAATAAATTTATTCTTCAAAATTTCAAAATTTTAAGACGGTATTTTTTTTTTTTAGTTTATTAAAATATACTAAAAAAAAAAAATAACGAATTAAAATTTTGAACTTTTTTTCAAATAGTTTACTTATTGAAGATATAAGAAGGTTTAAGAAGGTTTTGACTATTTTGAGTTTAAAAAACTACATAACATAGTTTTAAAATATTGATATTTGTAAATTTATGTCTTATTGCATACAACTTGTTATAAAAAGAAAATTTTTTAGAACAATAAAGTTATGCTTAGGACGTAAAGAGGGCGCAATTGGGGAACTTTATGATCACACCTTGATTGAGAGGGTGTCGAATATTCAAATTTTAATACTTTCTATTAATAGACAATAGTTATTTAAAATACAAAAATATAAAATATAATAAAAATAAAATATAATAAAACTCTTATATACAAAAATCAAACTCTATCTAACATTTTTTTAGATTTTTAATTTAGGTTCGACTGAAGAATTTTTCGATATTTCAGATTTGACAATTTAGACATTGTGGAAACTTCAAATATTTAAGTGAACTTAAATGGAAACTTAAGTAAACTCAAATATAAACTAAAAAAAAAATTATGTTCATGCTAAGGTTAAATAAAAGTTTTGATTAGAATAGCTGACGCAACTGTTAAATTATGCTGGAACAACTATTTTAATATGTCAAACTAAAAAACTGACACATTAAACTGTAATGTATATGCTAATTTATATCAAAAATGTATGGCCATTGTTTCAGTCACTGGGTATTTTAGCAGCCGTGGCGAAGAATTTAAAATCATTATATTCGAAGTTTAATGCCACCACTTGTCATATTTGTCGCATCGGTATGACGTAAACTTTCTTGTTAACTGCTCTTCCATGATCACACGCTCTGTAATAAAGACGTTAGGACTTCTCAGAGCATCTCAATAGCAAAAGGAAAAAAAAAAGATATTTGAAAAGACGATGAAAAGAAGAAAGGTCAAACTTAATTATTTTTAGATATACCATAAAATTTAACACTTTTATTAAGGTCTTTGATAAAAATAAATAGCTTTTATTAGGGTTCCGGGTAAAAATAAAAAACAAATGTTTTTTTGTATAAACATTTTTCTAGTTTTACACTTTTTCTTAAACTTTTTTATAGTTACAAAATATTAGCCACAAATTTAAAGAAGAGCAACCTCTCCTATCAGGTTTAAGAGCGTTTCTTAAGTATTCAAATGTTTATTTAGTTACCCTCTCTAGCTGTAAGTTGTTTTGCTTATCAAATTATAGACGCAGTGCTGTTGCTGATGTTATAAATTGAAAAGGTTTTGAAGGTCTAAAATGTTTTTTAAATGCAATTAAAAACACTTTAAAAAAAGAAAATCTTACAAGTTGTTCAAAGTTAACCCCTATTGGGTGCTTTAGGTGATAACTGAATCGAAATCAAACACAATCATTAAAGCAATAAAGTTGGGCTTTGTATACAATTTTATTTGTGTAAAAGCTACCAACACAGGAGGCAGAAGAACTAAGTTCTTAAAGAAGTAACACTCGAATTGTCCGTAAAAAAAGTTCATTATCTCAAAAGTCTCTAACGTGTTAACACACTTCAAACTAAACTTGTATAATACCTTGTTAACAAGTATTAATTATCTTTTTATCAAACTATGTTCACAACTTGTATTAAATACTTCAAACACCTGAATTTCTCCAAATTATGTTCACTAAAAAAATAATATTTTCAACACTTTATTTGGGCAAAATTGCATACTTGTAAGAAATTATAAAATGGTAAAAATTGTGAAAAATCCCTTTTTTTTTTCTGGGATATAAAATTTTTTTTCAAGCATGTAAAGTTTTTTTTTAGCATGTAAAGTTTTCTTTTCTAGTTTTAAACCTTTACTCGTTTAAAAAGCTGATAGAGCTGATAAAAATTTATGAAATTGGTCAGTTGATCAATTTGTTGGTGATAATATATCTCCAGATCTTGTTTTTATATACAAAATAAGTACTTAACACACCTTGTAGCCGCACAAAATACAGCATGGATGTAAGAACTAGAAACTTATTTGAATCTTGGTCATTCAACTGAAGCCACACTTTTTGCACACATCTGATGCACAATACTAAGTTTATAGGCTATTGCAAACTTCAATTTTGAGTTTTTAAAATATTTTATACATCTGAAACTTTGATAAACAAGAAAAGAGTTTATTATACTTATGATAATAGAGCCTGTGAAAATAGCTTTTTATAACTATAATTATACAGTTAATTTTTTTTTACAGATAAATTAATAAGTAGACTCTCTGTTGCTGACATTTTGTAGTTTCAAGCGGCTTTAGTTACAAAACTGGGTCAGAAGAGAAAAAGGAAAGATTTACAAATATTAAAAACAATCGCACATATAAAAAAATAATTTGCACATAAACAAATGATATTAGGAAGGAGGTGTAAATTTTTTAGTTAAATGCTTCTTGGAACGCCTTAAAAATATGTAATTTTACTGACGTTAATACTTGAAATTAACATAATATGTGTAATATTTAGACTTGTTTTTAGTTTAAATTTGCTTTTTTATTTTTTTATATATTTATTATTATATTTTTCTTATAATATTCGACAAAAAAAACACTGCGCTAAAAAAATTTAGTTTTAGATTCATTTAAATAAACAATACTACATTTTTTTTTTTACTCTTATGCAACTTTTTCAAAGCCACAAAAGGAGGCTGGGACCAAAGTAAATATTACTAGAAATTTTTCTTTTTATATTATAGTTTATTAGGCTATTTCTGCGTTGAAAATTTTGAAACGCGTTCAATGTGACATTTTTTTTTTTAATTTAATTCACTTTATTAAATAGACATACAAGCTTAAAATGTAAAAATATTGAACTTATAGACATGTTAAACTGTCCAGTTTGTGTTTAACATGTCGGAAAGATATTTGAAGCTATCGGATATAGAGAGAATCGAATGATTCATTTTTATGCGTTTTGTTATTGAACTCATTTTGCTCGAGTAAGAGTAAAAAATTTGAAGATTTGTAAAATTGTGCGCGAGTGTTATACAGCGCCGTATTCTTTTTTCTGTTGACAAGCTTTTGAAGCTAATTAGGGGAGCTTTAAAGCTAATTTGCAACCTAATTAACACTACAACAATTTTAACAGGTAATTTTAAAAATAATCGAATTTTGTTTACAATTTAATTAGCCTTTTTGTTAATTTACTTGTGACGTAACATAAAATAATGTAAATAATTTTTTAAATCATGAAAAAAGAAAAAGCTAAAAGCAATTAGTCAAAACTGTTTAATAATATCCTTCCAAATGAAAAATCCAGTTATCGAATAATAACAACATCATGAAACATCTGAAATTAATCGCAATTATTTAAAAAAATTGAAACATAAAATTTATATATTTATATATATATACTTTTTCTTTTAATGAGAAAAACAGTTTTTTTAAAATACTTAGCTTTTAAAAATTTTAAATTTTTAAATTAAATATTAAATAAAATTCTAACTTTTAAAAATATTAAATTTTTAAATTTAATATTTTTAAAAGTTAGAATCTTTTAACAAATATTAATTGATATTTTTTTATTTATTTTGTAGTTTTTATAGCAAAACTATGTTATGCATAAAACATGGTAAAATAATCAAAAATGAAAAAAAAAATTGACATCAAAGATAACATACACAATTCAGCAGATTCAGAATATTTCATATTTTTAAGCCAAAATTTCTACTTTTCTAACTTTATAGATTTATATTTGGTATAATTTTTAATAAAAATTTGTTCTATCATCATCTACCATTATCTAAGCCGTTGTTGAGTGGTTAGAGGCTTGAAACACATGTTTTTAATTTTTTTTGTTCTGATTCGCTTTCAACTAGGCTCTAAACAACCACTATTAAGTTAGGAGTTGCAAGAAAAAAAAAATAGAGTTATAAGGCAAAGAAACGGTTGACAGAAGACTTGAAAAGTTCAAGGTTGTATGAATCAAGAAAACATAAAGAAAGGAGATATATATATAGGGTAAAAAAAATAGACAAATAAAAGTTTTTAAAGCATGCAGGGATAGATACAGTAAAAGAATGAGACTTTATTGAATAAACTTTATTGACGAGTTAAGCGAGAATGAGTTTTAGTTGATGGAACTAGAGATGATAGCTTCTTTGAGCAGCAAATATGATTTTGTATAAAAAAGAAAGTGATGCAACTTTGCGTTAATCTGAATCCAAGCTTAGCAGATAGTGATTCAGCATTTTTTGGTGTTTGAAATAACTTTCTGACATGGAGCAAACACTAAACGTTTATATGTTTATACTTATGTCAAATTAGTATACTTTGCAAAAAATTGCAATGATTAAAGCCTGGGAGCAAGAATGCTCTAAAATTTTGGCCACAGCTGCCCCAAACATGAGTGTTAAGGCAGTTGGTCGAGACACTGGGTAGGAAAAGGAAGTGGGGAGTTGTGGTGAATGTTGGAGATGAGGGGGGAATATAGTTATATGTTTAACACTATGATTTTTAAATAAAGATTTTCAAGGTTTTTAAATCTTATACTAAGTGTTATTATACTAGTTTTTTTTTTGATGATCTAAAAATATTAAAATCAATTCAAATGTATTATATTAAAATTCTTAGCATTAGTTTTGAACAAAAAAGGTAATCTAAAGAAAATTTATGACTTAAATAAAATGTTATTTCTTTAACTTTATAACTTTATTTTTATAGGTTCTTGATTCTCAGTTTAAAAAAATCTTTTGATTTATTTAATTAAATCAGTTGGGTATCCTGTTAAGATGCTTAACTCTTCAAATTTGAATCTATGTGACGCATGTCACGAAATCATATATGATCGTTACATTTCAATTGTTGGAAATAGAAAATTACACGAAGAATGTTTACAATGCTCTAGTTGTTCTGTTTCAGTGTCTTTGTCCGGACGTTGTTATGAAAAAAATGAACAAATATTTTGCGAGGAATGCTATCATCTGTAAGTTGGGAATAATCAGGCTTTTTTTTTTACTTAAAAGATTTTTGTAATTTTTGAAATTTTAAAAAACTTGTATAGTTAACTTATATGAACCAAATTATTTTTCGAAGAAATTTTTCATTGGTCCAATGTAAAGGTTGTTCTCAAAGTATTATGAAATCCGAGTACGTCATGAAAACTCAAGAAAACTTCTATCATGTTTATTGCTTTCGATGTAATTTATGTAATTCTATGTTGCAAAGTGGAGAACGTTACGGTGTCAAAGGCGATAAGTTGTTTTGCGAAGCACATTACTACGGAAACAACGCTATTGGTATGCAACAGAATAATTCAAACCAAGGTATACATGCAGTTGATTTAATCAAATATTTTCATATATTTTCAGTCTCGATATCAACTTTCAATAAAATATTAAAATTATTTTTAAAAATGTAAAAAAAAAAAAATAATAATAATAGTAATAATAACAATTTTTATTGTATTAATAAGCAAATTAGAAAAACTGAAAAAAACATTTAAAACATGGTTTTAGAATAACTTGAATTTTAGGCGTTACTGTTTTAAAAATTTATTTTTTATATGAAACCTAATTTATTAATTTTTTTAATGTTAAAAAAGATTTCAATGACTTTATTTTATATTTAAATCCTTTTTAACAGTTGTTTTAATAAATTGCTATTTGTATTGTTATATTGTATGTTTAATTTTTGTTTTAGATTATAGTTATCATATATTTTAAACTTGATATTAAAGTTTACTGAAAAATTAAAGGATAGATACATAGATAAAGATAGATATTCCAATAATATGAGATATTAAATATTTCAAAAACATTATTTTTAATTCGTCAATTAAAATTTTAGCGTGCTCACGCAAAACTTTATGTATTTTGTAAATTTTAGCGTAAATGGTTTGATGAGATTTTTTTTCGTGAACTATAATTTTAGCGTAAATGATTTGGTAAGATCATTTTTCGTGAAAAATAATTTATATTAATTAAGTGTAGTGGACCAATCGACTCAAAAAGATCCTGATGCTTGATCAATCCCCAGACCCAGAGTTAAATCTCGATCAAACAAGGCTTTTTTAACTTTTTTTAAGCTAGATGATTTTTTTTTTGCGGTAATGTCTTACTTTTCACCTTGATTACTCAGATGTAACCTTAATGCCTGTAAGAACTGTAGGTGCAAATGATGTTCTGAGAGTTCTATGAATTCGGAATTTCAAATATATACAAATTTTGTAATTTTTTGACCAGAGCTTTATTATTTAAAAAAAACAACATTAAAAGCAAAGGTATTGTAAAATTGTATTTGCGTTATTTAGTTATATAAATGTAACCAGGTAATTACTCTAGGTTTCATAACGTTGTTTGACAATATACCAAATTCCATAATTTTAAAACTGTAAAATAATTCAGATTTGTCACAAAACATTCTCAGCTTTTTTCAATGTTTAAGATAAGTAATTTTTATTTATTTATTTTTAGTGTTTATTTTAAAAGTTGGAGCAAACTTTGAACTTGAGTATATTTAAGCTTAAAATAAGAATTAAATAAGCTTTACATATTTATTGATTTTTTAAATCTGATTTTTCCAACTTTCTTAAACTCAGACAACATAATTGCATAATCAAGATAATTAACAACTAGCGTTATTTATACTCACACATTAGTAGTTGGAATTTGACATTAAAATGAAAACAAAGAAATATTAATTTATCTAGCTTAATTCAGAATTTTCATCACATATGCTGAAAATAAGGATGTTAAAAATAAGTTTAACATGCGAATATTTTAGGCAAGCATTCTAAAGCATACACAATGAAAATTTAAGAAATATGTACAATGTTTCTTAAATTTTCCATAAAATCTTTTTTACAAAAGAATGAGTGTAGCAGTATTTTGAAAGATATGTATATTATTAAAGTAGAAGATAACGTATTCCAACAAGTGGAGAAAACACATTAACCACAAACAGCAAACACAGTGAAATGTTTATCAAAAAATTAATAACCGCCAGTTAATGATTAACAACTGAAAAAATTATTTCTTTCCTTAATGTTCTTTGATGGGAGCAGAAAGCAATATATAATGTATAAAGAGTGTATGCAATTTTCTTTTGTTAATTCCGTCTGCCAGTAAAAAAATAATGAAACAATTTTTAATAAAGACTCAAAATATGCATTGATGTGTAACGAAATTCAAACCTCAATATCAAAAGAATGGTCATTATGAACATAAACATATTCAATATATTAGTTAACGTAACATTGTGAAAGCGATGCAATGATTTATTATTAAGTGATTGTTAATTAAACATTCAAAAACCTTGCTTATGATAGAAAAAAGACTAGTGGAACGATAGTTAGACGAATCAGATTGCTCTCCAGAATTTTTAAAAATAGTGATAACAGATGCTGTTTTCCAGCAGGCAGGAAAACAAGACTTTAATAAGCATTTGTTGAATAGTTTCGAAAGGATAGACGACAGCTCAGGAGAACACTTCTGCAAGACCATAACAGGTATGTTTTCCGGGCCACAAGCTGTAGAAGAGTCGAAGCAGGAAATCGTTTTAGATTTTAAAAAAGCTTAGATTTTAAAAAAACTGGATACAAATGTCAAGCAATGGATCAACCTGTTTGACGGCTATATCAGGTAGAACGCAATTAGTGGAATCAAGAGATGATATTGATGAAAAGTTCTTAGCGAACAATTTAGCTTTGTCTTTATGTGAGTTGACAAAGTCTGAACCATACAAAAGTGGTGGAATTGCAGATTTGCCCTTATTATTGATACTATTAAAGATTTTCCAAAAGTCACGAGAGCCTAATTTTTTCGATGAAACACGAGATTTCATGACCTGAGAGAAGCGGGCTTTGGCTCGACGAAACCTTTTAATAATGGTTTCTAGCAGTAATAAACAGACGTCTGTTTTATGGAGAATTGTTTTGCTGATAGTTATGGAAGTAATGATTTTGATTGGCAATTGCAGGAGCACAATGTGAGGAAAACCATGGAGAAAAGTGAGGTTTGACCTGGAATTGTTGAGAGGGAATAAAAGATTCCATGCCAGCCTGAATCCACAAAGTTTTCTAGGAAGTAAATTTGTCAACAGGAAGATAAAAGATTTCTACCCAAGGGTCATTACGAAGAAAATCACGGAAAGAGTCTCAGTCAGCTATAAGGTAGTTGTAAGAGGTACGATAATAGGGGGGTTCAGATGATGAAAAAGAATGAGATAATACTTTTAGAGAGATCAAACTGTGATCAGAGACACCAAAGAGTGAATGTGGAGAAAATGAGCACTGACTAAAATCAGAAACAAGATATAGTACGAGTAGAGAAGTTAAATGATTCGGGTTGTCTTGAGTTGGAAATTTGACTATTTGAGTTAGGGATAGAGAAAGGCAAAAGTTGTGGGCTTTAATACCAGCAGAGTCACTGACACTAGAGCCAAGTCATTCAGTGTGATAAGCATTAAAGTCACCAATATGAACAATATTGGTTTATGGATAAAGAGAGATAGCTTAAGAGATTATGGATAAAGATAGATGTTGAGAGATAAGAGATAAGAGAGATAGATCAGAAATAATATCAAGTAGAGTGCAGTTTTGAGATGAAGGAGAGCGATATAGAACAAAGAGAAAGGCGATTGAGTGAAGTGGTGCTAAACGAAAGCACAAAAAAGAGTTAAAAGAAGATAACCATCAACACTGAGATCACAAGATGAGACAGCTTAATATTAATTAGCCTCAAAAAGAGTGAGTAGGCCTGGTGAACTTTGCAAGAAATAAAACTCAACAGAAGAAAAGTTACTTCAAAGAACACAAATATTAGTGAATAATAGGTTTAGAGAACTTGATGATGACAATAGTTTTTAATGTTTTATAGTTTTTGGTAATGTATTCATTTTTTAATTTTTTAAAGAACATAGATAGCATAGATGGTGCTCTCTATACTGTTTAATAGCCCAAGCAATTACCTCATTGCTATTAATAAACCCTAAGCGTAACAAAGGGCTCCAAATGTTGCCTTGGAGATGCACACCAAAAGTAAAAACAGGGACACCATCCATGCGCATCATGGCACTGTTAATACTTTGATACTTTTCAACTGTTAATGGAATTAGTCTCTCTGAGAGCTACCACAGAGTTACTGAAACCTGACTACCAGCCGGAAAAATTTGCCTAGTCATAAAATCAAAAACACAAGCAAAATCCGTGCAATAAGTCAAGAAGACCTGACAATTAATTATATCGGGACGGGCCTGAGCCAATTCCATAATTTTTTTTTTTGACAACTAATTTTTATGCGAAGTGGTTAAATAGTGGCGCAGAGGTTATATTTAATGAAAAATTGGCTTCTTTAAAATTTGGCTTCATTTAAATCCAAATTGGCTTATTTAAAAGACTGGGTAAGGGACTTTCGATCTTTTGTTGTAAACTAAACTAGATCAAAACGTATCAATTTGATTTAAAAGTATATATACACATTTTTTCTGTGACTAATGTAGGTGCTCCAAAAAGACCTAATGGTTGTATCACAGAGCACCGCAGAAGAGCATTTAACTTGGAAGTTTACGCTTGCTTTATGTCAAAAACAAACCTAGAGTAGACATCGAACCACAGATTAGTGAAGGATCCAGTATTTTTTGGTGTTTGAGATAGTTAACAGACATGACACAAACTCCAAACATTTTTATGTTTATACTTATGACAAATAATGATGCTTTGCATGATACTGCGATGATTGAAGGCTAGGAACAAAAAAAACCCAAAAATTTCATCCCCCTCCCCTGCCCCAAACGTGAGAGCAACAAGTTGGTAAAATAACTTTATTCTTAACTAAGTTTATATTCATCGATAAACTTAGTATTAGCTCATTATTATGAGTATTATCTCAACGTTCATAAATTATGATCATAAAATAATAATGTTTAAACTCCCCCTAATTTGAGGGGGTTACAAATTTTATAAAGTCATAATATTTGAATGCTTAGAGATTATAAAAAATTACTTAAAATTTATAGATGAAAATAACTTTAGTTAAGAATAGCAAAAAAATTATTTTCTCAACTTGTTTGCTCTCACGTTTTGGGAAGGGGGAATAAAATTTTGGGTCTCTTTTGTTCCCAGCCTCCAATCATTAGAACTTTTTGGAAAGCATCATTATTTGACATAAGTACAAACATACAAATGTTTGGATTTTGCTCCATGTTAGCTATCTCAAATACCAAAAAATTCTGGATCCGTCACTGCCACAGATCTCTTGTTTCTGAAACAAATTTCTTTCAGAATTCAGCGTTTAAACGCTGCAAATGTAAAATAAAAATTTATATACATATAAATTTTTAGCTTAAGACAAGTATAAAGAAAATTTGTGGAAAAATAGTTAATAATCAAAAAAATTTGTGGAAAAATAATTTTTAAATGTACTTTTAAGGTTCAAAATTTTCAAAAAAGTATCGGATCAAAATTAAAATATTACAACCATTCGATAACGAGAGAGGGAGATGGCAGTCGCCGTAGCAAGGTTTTTGAATCTACTCTTCTTCTTTTTCAATAGTTTTTTACAAAAAATCTTTACTTGAAATAGCTTCTGAAGCTTCTCCAAGCTCATCGCACGCTCTCAAAAACTTTTTTCAGTAGGCACAGCAAAATGAATTTTTTTTACGAAATATTTTTCTTAAAACAAGAAAATACGTTTCTTGTTTTACGAAATAAATATCCTGACACGCAATTTATTTTTAAAAACAAGAAATATATTTCTTGTTTTGAGAAATAAATTTCTAAACTATGGTCAATAGATTTACGATTTTGCTGTGAGTTTTGATGAGTTGTTAGAAACTTTGAAAAATTTTAAAGATTTGGAATTCATTGTACCCAAAAAGTCTGAAAGAGTCTTATCCATTTTTTCAAACAATGATCTAGAATATCAAAAACTAATCAGTAGTCTGGTGAACAACTCAAGACCTAGTGGCTGGTCTTTATTAACAAAAACGATGGAAAGAGAAATGTAGTCAGCCATTTTTTTGAGTATTTTATTACTCAGAATAAAAATTTTATTTCAAAGAAATGCAACTTGAATTTCATGAAATTCAAGGCGTGTCAAACAGCTCCATAATTGTTAATTTTCACCTAATGGTCTGTTTTTTTTCGCAAGTTCATAATAATTTCCACAGTTCTCAGCTTAAATGTAAATATCTTTAAAGTTAGAATCTTATACATTTCGTTTTTCCAAAAAAATATTTTAAAGTAAATCTCTATGACATGATGGCAGGAGATTAACAAGAATAATGGTCGGCCATAACATTCAATAAAGTAAGATTCATAAGGTCATAAAGTTGAACTAATTTTTGCAGGGTAAATATCATTTTTTAAGGTACCCAGGGAAAAAAATTCTATAGAATTTTGTATAAACTTTTAAAACATATGGCCTTTAGAAATTCTATAGAATTTCTATAGAATTTCTGTTAACGTCTATAAAAATTCTTATTGAAATTTTTTTCTACTTTTTTTTTTTACAAAAAAAAAGAAGTTTTATAGCAATTTCTATAAAAATTAATAGATATTCTATAGAAAATCCTAAAAAAGTATCAGCTGCTTTTAAACAAAAAAAAAATTCGTAAAAAAAAAATTTTTGTACGACACCCCTCTAAATATATGTATATATATATTATATATTATATATATATATATATATATATATATATATATATATATATATATATATATATATATATATATATATATATATATAATATATATATATATATATATATATATATATATATATATATATATATATATATATATATATATATATATGTATATATATATATATATATATATATAATATATATATATATATACATATATATATATATATATATATATATATATATATAAGAGTCTTGAATAAGACTCTTATATATATATATGTATATATATAAGAGTCTTATTCAAGTTTTAAAAGATGTTTTCCTCAACTTGTGTAACTTTGTGTAACTTAAATTTTAACACTTTTGCTGATAAACGCAATTACAGCAAATACTTTTTTTTTTCCCACACATTATCTGTAAAACAAATACTTGAAATACTTGACAAGGCAAAACAAGACTTCATTTAAGGGAGAACAGAGTGATTTTGGTTTTTAATTTTTTAAAGTTATGTAGCTATGTTAAAGTTATGTAGCTATGTTATAATTTTTTTACAAATGAACTCCTATTTATTTTGTCTAGACCTAAATATAAATTTACTTCAAGCTATAAAAACACTAACGAATGTTTGCCACTATATGGTATTATTAGTAAAATAGTTCTAAAAACCTCTAACTAAAAATAAAATTAACAAAAAAAAATCTTTCTGTTTGGTATATGCTTTTATCAACGTGTTTATGCTTTTATCAAAGTAAAGAAAAATCTGTTTATAAGGTTAACGTAATTATTCTTTTTTAAATATATATATATAAAAAACTGAACTTCTACATGTTTATAGTTCTGATAAAAAATCAAAAAACAAAATATTTTTCTAAAAACAAGACTCTCCAAATTAACAACAGAAGTTTTTTTAGTAATTAAGCTTAAAAATGTGTTGTTTTTTTTTATTTTCGATGAGTTGCTTCTCTTTTGAATCATTAGTAATGAAAGATAATGTGTGGTGATATGAATCAAAGTAGCTTGCTTGAATTATGAAACACGATGAAATATAGCGTAGACATTTGATGGGACATCGAGGCTAATCTAGTTACAACTCTTTGAAATGTTTAATTTCTCCGTCATCATTTAAAAACTGTCATTTTAAAAACGGCTAACAAACATTTTAAAAATCGTTAAAAAACATTTTTAAAATAACAAACAACAAATTTAAATTGAAAAATCTGAAAAGTAGAGGCTTTGAAAAAAGATTTGCCAAGCGCTGAAAATATCCACATTTCAAAATTTGTAAAAATGTTTTTTTTTTTTTTATAAAAACATATACAATATGTAAAATAAATCAAAAGTTTATATATATTATATTATATATAATACTATTTGTATATTATATTATAACTTTCACATGCTATGAAATAATTTTTAGCTTTTATATTTTGAAAAATAAATTTAAAATGGTCTATATTCTTAAACTATTTTGCAGTTTATACAAACTTTTGCACAAAAATTTTGCTTTTTTAATTCCTCTTTTTTTATATAGTTACAATCTATTTATAGTTGTGTATGTTTAAAAATAGTTTTGTATATATAAAAAATACGATAAGACAGTGCTTCTTCTTCTCTTTGCTTACTTTATCTTACACAAAAATTCTATTTGCGGTTTAATATTACAGCATTTTTAAAATGTATTATTTATTGAAATACTAACTAAAAATACAGGGCCTTTATACACAAACAAGAACTTATGCAGGGTGTATCTCTGATGGTTTAGTTCTTTTACGCCATATGGATGGTATTCTTCATATAGAACATTAGAGTTTTCATAAACTTTCATAAACTGATCCTTTTTTAGTTTTCTCTTCTTAATATTTGTTTAAATTAGGTTTGGCAAGACTGCCTTCATGTGCAAAGGTTTTTAGATAGGTTTTTAGAAAGATTTAAGAACAACTTTAGTTGCTTGTTTTTGCACTTTTTCCGAATTATGAAGTTCTCCTTATAAATTTGAAGACCCAACTGTAGCAGAAAATTCAATAAGTCGTTGCTTTTACTATTTTTTTAAATTTGATCAAAAGTTTTAATTTTGATTAAAGTAGCTATTAATGCAAATGTTATAATTTGTTGTTTCCACTTATGATAATTTGAAAAAAAATTTGTTTCCATAATGCATCACGAGGCATTTGTCAGCATTAAAGTAATCGTTTGTTTTGACAAAACGACAGCTGTATTGAAGTCTGTTTTTTTACTTTTTCTATTTTTTTCTTATTTTTGACTGTTAATGAGTTCTTTTAATCGTCGACATAAATTTTGTTATATTTTGAAAGCAAATCAATTAATAAATTTTAAAAAATAAAACCGGTCTGACATATTTATGATTATAATTAAAGTAAATAATTGATTTTTTTTAGATTACTTTATTGGAAGAAGCTTCGAAGAAAGTTCAGTAATTTTGGCAGATGTCTATTCCAAAACTTCCTTTCAACAATTAGCTTCACCAAGTGAACTCGAAATGCGCAAAAAAAAATTTCAAAACCGACTCATGAAAGAAAAAAGATACAGAACAACATTCACTCAAGAACAAGTAGAGTTGATGCAAAAAGCTTTTGAAATTGAAAGAAATCCAGACTCCGCATCATTGCAACAATTATCTAAAGAAATAAACTTATCCAAAAGAGTTTTACAAGTGTGGTTTCAAAATGCAAGAGCCAAACATAAAAAGCTTCATAATGAAAAGCCTACAACTTTTGAAAAACCAGAATGTTACGAAAACTATTCTGAACTACCTACAGTAGAACACAGCACATTGCAAATAAACTACTGTGACCATGGCGATTGTGACCATTCTAAGGTTATTAATGATAATTAGTGAAATTGTATAAAAAGCAGAGAAGTTGACCATTACAACTTAAAAATAAAACACTTCCATTTGATGTAATATAATTTCCTTCATAATATTTTTGTTTACATAACTTAAAAGAGTAAAACAAATAAAACTTTAAAATCATTTTTACTTAAATAAAAACTATTAAAATAGAGTAAATTTTTTTCTAAACTTTTTTTTTAAACTATACTTAATATAATTCCTTACTTTTAATTAATTAATCTAAATAATTATTGTTAACTTTTCAGCAGTTTTTAAATATTTATAAAAATACTAATATATTATAACATTTCATTATTTAAATTAGTTAGCATACAATGTTGTATATTGTATGTTGTATATTATATTGTAGCTGGTTTTTTACTTTTTAAAATCACTTTTTATTCTTAGTTATTAATTGAGAAATTTATTGATAAGCTTGTTGAACATGAATCTGAACATTTTGTTGCTTTTTTGTAATGATCGCACTATTTTGTAAACGGTGGATAACAAGATTAAACGGTGGAGAACAAGATCTATGTGATGTTCGCAGCACCGACTTAAGAGAGGAAGGGGAAGGGTTGTGTACCGCACGAGGGCGGCAATTTAATTTGGGCGGAAATTTTTTTATTTAACGTGATGTAGTTTTGTAATTGTAAATTGAAAAGATAAAGTTTTAGTAAATACAACTTTTCTTTTTATGTTGTATGTAAGTTAAACAAAATATTATTTTTCTATTCAATTTATTATTATTTTCTATGTAATTTATCAGCAAATTTTAAAATTTGTGAGAGGCAACCAAAAAAATTTGACACAAGATTGGCAAGACGACTAAAGACGGTACTGGAGGGTTGGTAATTAGTTTATTACCTTTTATTTATTTAGCAAGTGGCAATATAAATAATAAGACAACATGAGTCTGTTAGTGCACATTATCATCGCTCATTCCAAGTTCTGTCAAATATTTTGCGCTTGTTACAAAATTTCCACAATAGACTCGTTCAAACAAGTTCTCTTTATACAATTCTCAGATGATCACGTGTTCTTTGTTTATCGAGTACGCGTGAGTTAGATTGATAAAATGAATAACATGAACAAATTCAGTATTGAGGCAATCTAAGAAAAAAAACTTATAAAAACCCTGATTTTTAACATAAAACAAATGATTAACTAAAGAGATCAGACTAAAATTTTAACTTTGGAACATTGTAACCAAATATACCGCTAGGCTTCTCAACTCAATTTTTATTGCCGTGGCAAACTCTTTTTTTATTATAACCAATTAAATTGGCTAAACAAACAGCTAAAATAAATTTACAATATGAAGCATTTTTTAATATGAGATTACTCCTCAAAGCCAAATTTTCTCCTATACATCTTTACTTCATAATTATTATATTTATTCATTATTAATACACTTAAAATTTCTATAGCATTTTTTTATCCTCATTAATATTGTTTATTCATTAAAAATGATAAAAAAACATCTGGTTTTTGTTGACCGTTGTTTTCATTATCAATATATAAAAATTTTTTCTCCAACGTTTATTCAAAACAATCGAATTTTAATAATAACTTTTTATTTTTATAATTGGATCTTTATTGAATTTTATTATCAAAATAGGAAAACGTTTAAAATTGTGTGCGAGAATGCCTGCGCACCAGTGCGTAGTCAGTTGGTTTTGTTAACACAAAAAAGGAGTGACTATTTGATTTGTTAATTTAAAAAAGGAGTGGTCATATAATTTTTGTAATTAGAACGAAAGCAAAATTACTTCTTCAATTATGTTTTATCAATAAAATCAAATATAATGTGGCATCTGACGGGCTTTAATACTTTGTTAAACTTTATTCCATAACTAAAAAATATTCCTTTGAATTGAAACATTTAATTTAGAAAACATTGTATCAGGAAACTTATTAGAAAACTTTTAAAATATTTTTTAAATTGGTTTTAATTAATTCTACCAGTTAATATAGAATAGAAATTAAAGTGTTTTTTTAGATAAAAAGAGAAAAATAAGATTTTGATATACTAAATTGGAAAGAAAAACTTATTTGTGGATTTTGAAAATTTATTAGAAAGTTGTTTTTTAAGTTATAAATCTTACATTAAAGTGATAAAATTATTAATGAGACACATCAATTAATATTTAATCTTTTAAAAGTTTTTCGGTCAAACGTTGATATTTGTCTTCACAAAATACTAGCGCCATCTTTATCTTGGTACCAACAACCTTTAAAAAAATTCGGCACATTTTTTTTACGGGAGATTTACGGATATATCTTTTTATTTGTTATTATCATTTAAAAAAAAGTTATAATATCGATTTGGACGCCGAATGGGAATCCGGTAAACAGAATAACGTCATTCTCTTCTGACAACATTTACTGAGAGGTATTTAAGCTATTAGAATAAAAAAAACTGCTCAGAAAAGTGGTCACTTTTAAAACAGTTAATTGCTTTCATTTAGATGAATAAATTTTTTACTTAAGTGATAACCTGTCCAAAACCTAAGTATGGCTGTTTTAGAATGGGAAATGGCAAAGGAGTGGATTCGTTCCACCAACATTGTCCCTATGAACGGAAAAGCATTTGAACAGAGCATTGATTTGTTTGACTTTGCTCATTCATTAAGGGATGGTGTTATTCTTTGTCAAGTTGCTAATCAACTGAAGCCAGGAAGTGTTAGAGATGTATCCACTGTTAGTAATATTCAAATGCATGCTGTAAGTATTGTTAGTTATATAAAGATTTTCATGAAGTAAATAAATAATGCTATTTTTTTAATGAAAAATAGAAAAGGTATAAAAAGTAGCCAAAAAAATTAACTTAAATAATAATATATTGTGTGGTATCAATGTGTTTCTTTTAGGAAGCATTACCTTCTGTCTGTAGCTTTTTCTGTATTATGAACTATATATTATAGATGGTTTTCTAAATCTGTTCTAATTTCTTGATTATGGATTAGAGTTAAGAGATTGAATCTTCCTTAGTTTTAGTTCATCTAAGCTCAAGTGTTGTTTAATATGAAATCCTAGGGATTTAACAGTTCATATTATTTAACAAAATTTATGGCAAAAGGTAACTGTGTAGTAATAGGGTGTTCGAATAGCCATTATAAACTTTTGAAGTGGAAAAAACAAGAATGCAATGTTCATGAAGGTTTAAAAAAAGAACAATGTGGTTGTAATCCTCTTTTTAATCTTTACTGTTTTCCAAGTTCTTTAAGAAATTCTAGAGAAAGAGAAAAGTGGAAAATTTTATATTATATATTAGCCATTATATATATATATATATATATATATATATATATATATATATATATATATATATATATATATATATATATACATATATATATATATATATATATATATATATATATATATATATATATATATATATATATATATATATAAATATATACATTTATATATATATATATATATATATATATATATATATATATATATATATATATATATATATATATATATATATATATATATATATATTATATATATATATATACATATATATATATATACATATATATATATATATATGTATATAAATATATATATATATATATATATATATATATACATATATATATATATATATATATATATATATATATATATATATATATATATATATATATATATATATATATATATATATATATATATATATGAGGTTTTTTCCCCTTGGAATTAATAAGCCATTATATAAAAAAAAATTGTAAACAAAATAATGGTTATGCCATTGCGATATAATATTTTAAAAATTTTTAATTTAATGAAAAATAATGTATAGTACAGTTTGAACTTGGCCATGGGATATAGTGAAATTTGGCTTTAAACTAATGGAAGGAATAAAAACTTTTATGTCTGTCTGAATCCTGCAGTAGATTTCATAAGAAGAATAATTTTAAGTTGAAAATCAGAAGACAACAGCCTTAAGACCAAAAAAACCTGTTCAATTTATGTTGGTAGAAAGAATTTAAAAAAAAAAGTTAAATGCATTAGAAATACATTTATGTGAGATCAAGAAAGCAAGATCTAAATCATTATCTAAAACAAGGAGAATGAGAATCTGAGCATAATCAAGACACAATTATTAAAGCCACACATGAATGAAGTCAAGAAGCCAAGGTAAGTAACTTGGGTTATCTTGGAATCAAGCAACAAAGACTATTGAAGTCTGCGAATTGAAGAATAATGTTCATCAATAATGATATCTAAAGATAAAACAGCTAAATTTAAATTAATCTCACAAAGTAGATCTGATAAATTTTGCAAAAGGGTAAGACAACACAGATCAATATTTACTTTAGAGAAAATTTATTAAAGATTTTTAAAAATTTAGTCAAATTAAGTATTTTAAATCAAAGTTTTTTTTTCAAACTTCCAACAAGGCTAAACATAACCATTAATCAAGATAGGAGTATTAAGCATTATTAATAACAGAATTAAGTCAGAAAATAATGAAAACTATTTAACAAGACAGAAGAAAAAACTGTGAGTTGTATGTGTCATATGTGTGAATTGTATGTGTCATATGTGTGAATTGTATGTGTCAAAAAAATAAAAACAAGAGAGAATACTAAAGCACCAATCTTTCGTCTTCCTGTTGACAATGTGCTTCTTACATAACTTCATGGATTCAGGCTGGCATGGAATACTTTATTATCTCTTGACAATTCCAGGTCAAGCCTCACTCTTCTCCATGGTTTTCCTCACATTGTGCTGCTACAATTACCAATCGAAATGAAAATGAAAGATACGAAAATACTTCCTTATCTATCAACAAAATATTTCTCCAGAGAACAGACGTCTGTTTATTACTGCTAGGAACCATTGTAAAAAAGGTTCCTAGCAGCTCTGTATTTAAAGTGATTTCCTGCGTCGACTCTTATACAGTCTGCTGGAAAGCAGTATCTGTTATCGCTATTTTTAAAAATTCTTTTTAATTTACATTAACGATCTTCCAGATATTCTCTCATCTAATGTGGCATTGTTCGCTGAGGATACTAATATTCATTCTTGTCATGATAAGAAGCCAACTCTCTCTGATTGCTTAGAGGAGGTATTTGAGCTTGAAAAGGATCTCACTTCTGCTACAGCACAGGGCTCATGGTGGCTGGTGAACTTTAATTCAGATGAAACTTTTTTTTTTTTCAGCCAAACGTTATCGCAATAATTTAGACCTTCCTATATTTATGAACAGTAATATACTTGATGAGTCATCTACCCTTTATCTTCTAGGATTAACTCTTACTCCTGATCTAGAAACCATATATCAATTCCATTGCAAAATTAGCATCTGCTAATGTTGCATCTCTTTATCGAGCTCAACACTTTCTTTTTCTGGATTCTATTCTCTATCTCTAAGGTGCAAAAACGCATTGTAAACATAGTTGGACCTGCTCTTGCAGCCAACCTTCAACCATTATTACATCGTCGTAATGTTGCTTATCTTTCTCTTTTCTACAAATACTATAATGGGCACTGCTCTAAAGAGCTAGCGTCTCTTGTGCCATTTACTAAAATTCACATGTTACTCTTCATTCAATTAAATCTCATCCTTTTTCTGTGACTGTTCCTAAGTGCTCCAAAAACTCTTATTCGTCTAGTTTTTTTCCTCAAACATCAGTTCTTTGGAATTTGCTTTCTTCATCTTGCTTTCCTGATTCATACAATTTGCAATCTTTTAAGTCGTCAGTCAATCGTTATCTTGCTCTACAATCTTTATCTTTTCTCTTCCAGTAATTTCCACCATTATTTAGTGGTTACTTGCAGCTTTGTTGGAAGCAAAGATGTTTAATATATATATATATATATATATATATATATATATATATATATATATATATATATATATATATATATATATATATATATATATATATATATATATATATATATATATATATATATATATATATATATATATATATATATATATATATATAAACAATTTAAAATGTATTCTACAAAAAGAGTGCTCAATGTTCTTAAAAGAACAGACCAATTACAAATTAGTAGAAAATCACTTAGCAAAATTTTTTCTCATTTAACACTGTGTTTCATCAACAAAGACTCATCAGAAATCTGTTTTCTGATGAGTCTTTATTGATGAAACACAGTGTTAAATTTGAAAAAATTTTGCTAACTGATTTTCTACTAAATTATATATATATATACTGGCCTTGTTTTAAAGTGTTACGCCTAGAGCGATTTACGTACGCCTTAAGCGCTTTTTACGTACGCGTAGAGCTGTTTTGGTTAAGCTACTTTTTATCATTTTTTAACTTTTAAATTAGCGGTAACATAAAAGAAGTAATTAATTTTCAAAAAAACCACATAACTTTTAAATAACGATATGTAAAGATATTTATTAAAAAAAAGAATTTACTTTAAAAATAATTGTTGTAACTTTTCATCGCGATATATCTTTCCTTTTTATAGCAATTAATTTGACGCTAAACTTTTTATCCAAATATTTAGCAACATGAAAAATTGTTTGTCAATCCTTAACTACAAATTTTTTGCAATGTTTTTAATAAAAAGTAGTAATTTTTTAAAGTTTTTAGTAAAAAACTTTTAAAAAATCTATATTCCATATTTATTAATACAGAATATAAAAGTTTTTTGTAATATAGATTTTTTATGAATTTTTTACTGAATTTATAATAAAAAATATTTGCAAAAAAATTTGTAATTAAGAATTGACATTTTTTAAAATAAAATCTCAAAAAATGTCTTCATATTTTTATTATCATGATAACAAAAATATCAAGACATTTTTTCGAGATGTTAAAAAAAAATGTCTTTGCTTTTCTTATTAGTTAAAGGTATATGTAAATGCGGTAGTGGTGTAGTGGTAGAGCGCTCGCTTCATAAACGAGTGGTTCCGAGTTCGATCCCCACCACGTCCCTGGTAGTACCGCGCTCAACTCGTTTCTCCGCGCAGCGGCCTTGTTCGTCTAGGTTCGTGTTTCGGAGTTATAGAGTTGAGAGAGGGTTATAGCCACAAATAAGTAGCCTCCTCGTTTGTAGTGGCCTTCTCGGCCTTGAGGAGGTGAATCAAAATAAAAAAAAAAAAAATATATAGTTTAAGTTATGCGGGGGGAGGGGGTCGGCACAGAAAAAAAAATTACCTGTTACTCGCAATATTTGAATGAAGACAATTTGTTAAAATTCTTCTGCGTGCGATTCAATAATTTTTTTTTTCATAAATCAAGTTATATTATAAGGTAAAGAAATCATGAGTAGACTACAACATCCGCTGATGACACTAATATTACGTTGAATATATTTTTATAACGGAGGTTTTATTATGCGCGCGCACATTACAGGTTCTGTTAAATAAATACTAAGGCACGTTTT